AAGGCTGGCCCGTGCCCTCCGGTGCACCCAACCTCGGGGCTTTGAACTCCAGCTGTTCCGTCTAGGCTGTGTCCCCACCACATGGAACTAACTGAAGATAAACCCTTTTTCTCTCCCAAGGATTGGGGAGGGATGGGAAGGGAGCTGCTTGGGGTTCTGGCTGTCTGTCTGGGCATGGTGCTGTTGGGCTCACGACTGGTGTTGGGGGAGAGGAGTGAAGTGCCTAGGATGCGAAAGGTGGGGAGGCCACTGCGCAGCAACCTTGAGAACGTGCAGGATTGGCGCCTCCTTACATGTGGCTCTGGTTGGAGTCAGTACTCTCGCTCCCCATTTGGTAGTCACCAAGGCAGTCTGGAGCCCGTGTTCTTGTCCGGTGTCTGGAGAAATCTGGGCTGCATCAGGGTGGGAGGGAGCTGTTTTGTTCTCACCACTCTCAGACTCCTGGGAAGCGGTGGATACCATTAAAGCAGGGGCTGTTGGGGACCCCTTACTGTGGGTGCTTCTCTGAGCAGAAAGAAGTGAGACAGGAGGACACGCCAGTGTGAGCTGAGGGGAATCCCAAGAGGATATTTATTAACTTTAAAAAGTAACGTCTCCATTCTTTTCTTATTAGAAAAATAAACACACCTCCATTAGCTAGAGTTAGAAAATGAAAAGCACAAGTCATTTCACCTCCCAAAGTGATCCATTATTTCCATGTTAGTCAGATCTTCATCTTTTATCACATGGTCCTAGTTAGTATCAATGATGATGAAGACGAGGCTGATGACTATAACAATAAACATATGATGAGAGCTTATTTCTCCATGTCTGACCCTTTGGTTTGTAATTCAAGAAGTAAATAACATTCAAGATTCTATTGAGACTTTATTTGCAACATTTAATGGGAAATGTTTCATGGACAGCCTTTAGGCACATTTATATTAGTAAGGCTAGGGAAAACCTGTCTATGTTGTTGCCTGTAACAGCATCTGATCTTATAAAAAACTGAGCAGCCCAATGAGAATATGAACACTACCCCCAATAACCTCCCCTCCCTTCTTTCCTCCCTCCCTTCTCTCCTCCCTCCCCCCTCTCTCTCAGGTTCCATCCCAAGTCCTGGTCAGGGTGCTTGCAGGAGGCAATCAATAGATGTGTCTTGCTGAGATCGGTTTGGCTCAGTGGATAGAGCGTCGGCTTGGGGACTGAAAGGTCCCGGGTTCAATTCCGGTCAAGGGCATGTACCTTGGTTGCGGGCACATTCCCAATGGGGGGTGTGCAAGAGGCAGCTGATCGATGACTCTCTCTCATTGATGTTTCTAACTCTCTATCCTTCTCCTTTCCTCTCTGTACAAAATCAATAAAATATATTAAAAAAAAATAGATGTGTCTTTCTCACACGGATGTTTCTCTCTGCCCTCTCACTCCCTGCTCTCTCTCTCCTCCCTTCCACTCTCTCTAATTTGTGCATGGGTAGGGTCTCTAGGCCTGGCTGGTGATCAGGGCTGATCAGGGCCTTCTGGCTGCAGGTCGGGGCCTCCCTTCCTGGCTCTTGACTGCTGGGGAAGGCATTCCTTCATTATACACCACCCCCTGGTGGTCAGTGCATGTCATAGCAAGCGGTCAAACTCTTGTTCTCCCTATTGAACTCCCAAGGGGACACTTTGCATACTAGCCTTTTACATATATACTAGAGGCCTAGTGCATAGAATTTTTGCACTGGTGGGGAACGTGGCCTTTGGGGATTGGCCCGCTGTGGGAGTGCCACTCATCCCAGTCTGCTGAGTGGTGCTCCCACTGTGGGAGTCCACTGACCACCAGGGGGAAGCTCCTGCATTCAGCGTCTGCTCCCTGGTGGTCAGTGTGTGTCATAGCGACTGGTCGACCGGTTGTTCTGGTCATTCTGCCATTCGGTGGCTGGGCTTTTATTATATAGGATAGATCAAACAAAAGCACAAGATGCCCGGTTAAATTTGAATATCACATAAACAATGAATACTTTATTTTTAAAAAATTTTTAAAATTTTTTTTTAGCATTGTCCGATGTAATATTTGAGGCATACTTATGCAAAAAATTATTCATTGTTTATCTGAAATTCAAATTTAGTCGAGTGTCCTGTGTTTGATCTGACAAGCTAATCCCCTGAAACCAGAAGGGTCAGGGGGGTCAGGACAGCTCCCGAGGGCCAATGCCTGATTGCCTCTTTTCCTCTCCTATGTGGACTCTCTTCTCTCTACTGCGGCACCAAGCTGTAGGTCCTGGGAAGCCAGCCTCGACCAGAGTGGATCCTGATTTTGGAAGGAATTTACTTTCTCCCACTCTCTGTAGCTTCTTTTCTTCTGTGACTTGAATAAGTGTTTCCTTGCAATCAATGATAAGATCAGAGACTCAAACAGGAGTTTGGGGAAAGGTAGCCAAGGATCTGCATTAGTTCAATGCTCCTGAGACCTCCCTAGTGTAGGGGGAAAAAAAGACTCATCCGTGTAACCTCTCTTTGTCCATGTAAGTCCTTCCTTCAGGTTTGAACTCCGTCTTCAGGCAAGAGTAACGTGCTCTTTGCCTGGCTTTGCTTTTCCTCATGTGCAGGCTCAGCTCTCCCTTGGGGACTTTGAGTGGAGGGTTAAGGAAAATTATTCAAAACTTGGAAATGAGCAAAAAAAATTTGCCGCATGACCTTTTAATGTCATCTAAGGCCGTGTTACTTAAAGGGTGGGTTGCTGACTGTCAGTGTCACCCGAGAACTTGTTAAAATGCAGATTTTCAGACTCAGCCCAAGACCTCCATTTCTGGGGCTCAGGGCCCAGCCATCTGTATTTTCATGAAGTCTGAGCAGCATAACGGTACACTTCCCTCTCTAGGGAGAGGCAACATAGGTTGGGCTCGGGCCTTGTACAGTACCGGTAGGATGGTGATGGTTTCATGTCCGGTCCAGCGGAGAAGACAGCCCCGCACAGCATGGTTTTACTGCGCCCTCGGATCCTGACCAGTTTGCATCTGAATCTGCAGCCTCACCTCGGCACTCCTTCCTTCCTGCACTGACTGTTGTCTCATTTTCTCTTTTGATCCAGCGCGGCCACCCTCTTGGTTTCTTCCTTCATGAATTGAATAAAAAACGTTGGCATGCGCTTACTTACCTATCTATATGAAAATTAGGTTTTTAATATTTTGAGAACCATCCTCTGACAGGAGGATAATTGAGGGGAGGCAGGACTCATCTCTTCCTCAGACTCCTGGCTACCTGCTGTCATAACCCTCTCTGTCTCAATCAGGGGCTACTGGCTGCAAACAACAGAAGCCAACTCGAATTAGCACCAACAAGAGGGAATTGATTGGAAGCTGAGAGGCATCTGCAGGGACTCATTTGTCGGGAGAATAACTAGGCACCCGAGGGAGCGGGAGACTGCCAGGTAGTCTCTCTATTCTCTCTCTCTCTCTCCAAATGCTCTCTGGCCCCTGGTTTTCTCCAGATAATGAGGACTCCTCTCTGGCTTCCTTATAGACTAGTTCTCCTGTTTACTTGGCAGCATGAATGTGGCTCAAAATGGATCTGCGTCATCTCCCAGCCCAGGAATCTCATTTGTGACCGACAAACCCATAGGTCAGCTGGATTTGGGTCCCAGAAATCACACCATCAGCTTGCCCATTCACCAGACATGGAGGTCAGGGCAGCTATTCTAAGAAGCACCCCTGGGCAGGGGTGGCAAACGTATCTCTGATCTCTACCCCTAATTGGACTGTTTGCAGATTAAGGACCGAAATACCAGGAAAGAGGCTTTCCTCCCAGACTCCCTGCCTTGGACCTGAGAATTCTCTTGGGACCAATTTGGCTCTACCAATCTCCGAGGCCTGACAAATAGGAAAGCCGCCTCTGGGCTTCTGAAATGTGCAGGGTGCAAGCTGAAGAGAGGCTAATTTTCCATTAAGACTGAAATGATGCACAGCCAGTGTAGCTCCGTGGCTGAGCATTGACCCACGAACCAAGAGGTCGCTGGTTTGATTCCCGGTCAGGGCACGTGCCCAGGGGGCCTGCAGGAGGCAGCCAATCAATGATTTTCTCTCAGCATTGATGTTTCTATCTCTCTATCTCTCTCCATTCCTCTTTCTCTAAAAGTCAATAAAAGCATTTAAAAATCCCATAAAAAACAAACAAACAACCCCACTCTGAAATGAAACCTAATAAAAATTTCATAGTTAGTTACTTGATCTTCGAAATAATGATATCATTTGGTATGCATGTTTAGCCAAGCTTTTAAGTTAGAATAACACTAGCTGTTGTAACAAATAAATCCCTAAATTTCATTGGTGTAGCAAACAGAAGTTTATTTTCCACCCACCGCTATATCAATATAAAGCAGGTAGTTCTGGTAAGTGGGTAGAAATCCTTCTATTTGTTTAGATCTTTTACATGTTTTGTACATTCTCTATTAAATGTACAGGTACTGAATGACTTTGATGCTATTTGGAGAGTTATCTTTTTAAAAGCTCCTGAGGACTCTGCTTCACTTTTCACCTCGTAGCTGTTGCGTTGTGTGTAGTGTGATTTGAGAATCAGCATTAGAAAATCACGTTAGGAAACCCACACAGACAGGACATTGGGCCACTTATCTGTAGTTTCCTTTCCTTCAGACTCTTAAGACGTTAGGCACTGATTTGTTGGACACCTGGAACTCTGCCTTCTATTTCTGTCGCCCCATGAAACTACCAAGAGCTCTGAGAGGTGACTTTCTGCTTGGCCCCCGACCCTACTTTATTTACAAATCAGAAGGAAAGAAGGTGATGCTCACGGAAAGCCCTTCTCTTCTCTCTGGGGTCTGGGCCTGTCAACTTAGGCAGCCTTGATTGATTGATGCAATCGCTAAGCAGCTGTCTTGTAATAGTTTATTAAGCATTTATAGTTGCTCCTAGCAAGGGGGTAGGGAGGGGTGTGGTTTGATAAAGGACACCCCATTAGAGCTGGAAGTGGAAGTTCTCTCTAATGCGTTATACTAAGATTAATATTTTTTTATTCATATAACTGCAGGTTCAAAGCCATAATGAGAGAGACAGTTTTGATGTGGGCTTCCAGCAGGACAGCGTCACATAGGATGTGATAAAACAGTGTGTGCAACAGGATCCTCGTTGTTTTGTCAGGGAGTAATGACTACACAGAGTTTTATGCTCCTTGGAAAATGGCGGAGGTAATTTTTCATCAAGAGGACATTTCCTAAGGGGAACACAAAGTGCAGTTTTCACAGGTGCTCCGTAGAAAAAGATTTTTTGTTTTTTGTTTTTTTGTTCCATTACGTTGGGAAGTGATAGTTAAACAGAATTGTTTATTTCAAAATGTCTCTGGGTCTGGGGGATGTTATGTGCTTTGCAAGTCTCCAAGAGGGAGTTCTAGTGTGCCGAATTTCCCAACTATATTTGATCAAAGAACTCTTTGGGGAGCAATTCATGGTGAAATGATTCTTTCGGATAATATAGTTTGGGAGACACTGGTTTAAGCGGAATGAAAGCTAAGTTAGATTATGTCTGGCTCTGACGCTGACATCTAGTAGCTTCATGATCTATTATATGACACTGCATCTCTGATCATTAATTTCCTCATTTGTAGAATAAAGAGGCTTCACTTCAGAAAGCTAAAGTCTAGGCTTTTCTCTACTATGACATTGCCAAGCATATTACCTGTATCACACAATATTCTCCCCAGTCCCAACTTTCATAAATGCCTATTCCTTTCTATCTATACTAATGAAAGGGTAATAGACTAATCAGTCCGGATATCTTCCGGATGTACTTCTGGACAAAGCCACAGTGGCAGGGGCCAAGGCAGAGGCAGTTAAGGGCAATCAGTCTGGCAGGGGTGGGCAGTTAGGGGGCAATCAGGCTGGTAGGAGAGGGCAGTTGGGGGGTGATCAGGCCAGCAGGCCGAGGTGCTTAGGGGCGATCAGGTAAGTAGGCAGGCGAGTGGTTAGGAACCAGCAGTCCAGGATTGTGAGAGGGATGTCCTACTGCTGGTCGCCTACGGGATTGAGCCTAAACCAGCAGTCGGACATTCCCCGAGGGATTCCGGATTGGAGAGGGAGTGGGCTGGGCTGAGGGACCTCCTCCCATGCATGAATTTCATGCACCGAGCCTCTAGTTTAGTGATAAAGCCCTAAAGTGAAATCCAGTTGGAAAGACTGCCAGCCTTTGGGAGAAAGCCTTGAGAAGGTAAACACCTCATTTGTATTGTGTTGGTTCAGCCTCTGAGCTATTCAAATCCCAAGATTTTACAGAATATTAGGCCACATCCAGGCTTCCCATATGGCTGAAGGAAAGTGGCTCTCTTCTTTCTAAACGAGAGAGACGCTGAGTCTTGGACAAATAGAAAATGATTTTGGAAGAGACACTTGGTGTTAATCGCAGACCCCTTAGCCTTGCGGCTTGCTGTAACGAGGCTGAATTGCAGCGAGCGTCAGAGCTTGAGGGCGCGGGCTTTTCCTTCAATTACGGTCAGACTGTCTGATGACAGGCCTCATCAGACTCATCAGACTCCAGGTGCTTTGCCTCAAAGCCATCTGCTGAAAAAGAAATCACACTTGAGGAATGAAAGAGGGGCCGACACGAGTCCTAATTTAGCGAATGTGGCCATTGTCAGGGGAACACAAGCCCGGTGAAGGGCACGCAAGTCCTCTGGCGCCCCGAGTCCTGTTCCTGCGTAGAAGTGATCGGAGTGTTATTATTACCCATTGAAAATCAACAGGAAGGAAAGCCACGCGCCCTAAGCCCATTCAGACGCATGCCAGTGCAGGAAATCACAGAGCTGTCAGCCTCAGTGTAATCACAGCCAGCGCAGGCGGTAAATGGCATTTCAAAAATGTGACCGTCAGGCCCTGCCGTCTCCCAGCCCCTGTGGCTTGCCTCTTCCACAGCTGAGATCATTGAACCCCCACCAGCAGGTTTAGCTCCTCAGTATTTCTTAGGTAAGGGAGGGCAACTATGCCTGCCACTCTCCCCGCTTTTCTACCCAAGATCCACAGATATCACCCAGGGGTCACCACCTTCATTTCCACAAGGCCCAGAGCATTACAACCTGAGAGTCCTCCTCAGAGTATTCTGGGCAGCTCTACCCAATGGCCTGGGACTGGCATGCAGAGAACACTTACTTGACTTCCTCGCTCTTGGGCTAATCCGGATGTAAAATACCATTAAGAGAGCCACTTAGGACTCCAGCTCCCATATAAAGTCAGCCATTCTGCTTAGTCTGTCCCTGACACTGTGTTCCTATTATTATAACTGGCTCTACATCCTCCTTCCCTCCTTCCCTCTCTCCATCCATCCATCCAACGACTACTCACTAAGTACTTCCTGTCGATAAGTTACAATTCCAAACCCAAAAGGTATAGTATTTCTAATGAAATTTATAGTCCAGTGGTAGAAATAGATTATAAACAAACAAACAAACAAACGAACCAGATAGTAATAAATGCCAAGAAGAAGATTAAAGTGGGACAAGGGTATACACATGTGCCAAAACTGATTCAGTTCACTGTTTGAATATGCGCCGATTATTGTACTTCACTTACACCTCACACTGGATTAGGGTGGGCCCTTAGTCCAGTCTTGACTGGTGTTCTTCTAGAGGAGAAAAGACACAGAGACAGACGCACCCAGGCCAGGCAATATCAGAGGCAGGGGTTGGAGGGAGGCATCTATAAGCCAAGCAAGCCAAGGATTTGGGGGGACTCCCCTCCCCACCCAGAAGCTGGAAGAGGCTGGGAAGAATTCTTTCCAAGAGTCATTGGAGAGAACATGGTCTTGCTGACACCTTGATTTCCAACTGCCAGCCCCCAGAACTGTGAGACTATGAATTTCTGCTGTTCTATGGCATTTTGTTTGTGGTGCTTTGTTACAGCAGCCCTACATAATTAATATTCTTTCCATCAGACCACACGATCAATCCCTGTCCTTCACATTGAACAATGACCTTGCTGCTTATCTCCCCGTCTTTGCACAGGGATGGCACAAAGGCCAGTGCGCAGGGGCACAAGGACCATGAAACTTATGAAGCTTGAGCTGCAAAGGCCCCTCACTAATGAGACCCATTTTAAGGACACAGGAAGGTCTCCATTTTTGTGTTCACATTTTCATAAAGTTTTCAAAATGGCATTTTAACCACAATCAATCAAGAGAACAGTCGTTTTGCTTCCCAACTTTCCCTTGGGTCAGATTCCCTTGATTCATAGCTTATGAACCTTTTGGGATTCTGCTAAGAGGATGTCAATTTGGAGATACATTTAGCTTGGTTTCGTGGGATATATGAATGTGTTTTTTCAGCTACTTGCATGTATAGGGGAGTTATTGCTAGCTCTCCCAGTGTTGTTGACTTTATGAAATTCCCCTCCCACTCACTATGTCAACTCAACAAAGTGACACAAAAGTGCAGGCCTACCCCTGAATCTAGCGAGGAGGTGTATCCAGTTTCTATTCTGTGAAGAATCCTTTGAATCTTGTGTAGTATAATTGGAGAATTTGGTGTTCATCAGCTCCTCATCAAAATGGAAGTTGTCTTCTGTCAGAAATACGTCAATAATTTAATGTATACAACAATAAACACTCCTTACATGTTTATATTGTAACTAGAGGCCTGGTGCATGAATTTGTGCACCAGTGGGGTCCCTTGGCCTGGCCTGTGATTTTTTGAAATCCAGGACCCCTTGGGGGATGTTGGACTGCTAGTTTTGGCCCGATCCCCACAGGCCAGGACGAGAACCCCAGCGGTGCATGAATCTGTGCACCGGGCTTATAGTATGAATATAAGATATTTGGTTAATTTCTTCCTGCCCACCACCCCCTTTCCTCTAAGATTCATCAGTCTGTTTTATGTTTCCATGCCTGTGCGTTGAGCGTCTGCCCTCTGGTGGTCAGTGCACATCAAAGCTACCAGTCAAATGGTTGCATGGTTGAACGGTCACTTAGGCTTTTATATATATAGATGGGGTTCTTATCTGGATTCTTGTGTTTATGGGACACAAACCAGTAGAATACTATAAATGGTGTGCCCATTCTGCATGTAATGGGCATGCATTTTAGATTGGATTTTTGAGAACCTAATATATCATGTAATCAAGAAATGCCCTGAAATCTTACAGGTCAATATGAAAACAAGTAGATAAAAATTTTCCCAGACTTGACAACCCTAAAAATATATGTAAAATCACCAGTAATTTGTGAAACTGAAAGTAATATTTCAAACTATTATTAATACAAATCAACTTCTTTTTTTTGGCCTGAAGAAAGATTAAATTTTTTGTTTTCTCTCTAGAAAAGATCATACGATTGTTATTTTGTGTAGAGTTAATTAGGGAATATGGAGTCAAGAACTGTGGTGGAAGGAAGTAGGATGTGCCAGGCAGCTGCTTAGTAATATTAGAGTATATTTATGAATTTTGTGATCCTGTGGTATTAGCCCACTTTGTTATATTTGCAATTTGTTGCACTTTTTTTTTTCTCTCAGTCTAAAGAAATAATCACTTTTGTACCAAATTTTATATTTCTCATTTTTCTTAAAGAGGGCCCTCTCCCTAATTTTGTAAGTCAGATCTGCCCATGCTAATGCATAATTATGATTGACATGATTTGTTCCCCCAGTTTTATTAAAAGTCAGCTGCAGGCAGGGCAGTGTGGAGATGCTTTATGGAACGGTGTTTAAGTGAGAAGAGACCCTGGTTGGAGTCAGGGATCCAGAGGTCCAGTTCTAACTCTCCCAGAGAGAGGCATATGGGATTAGGCAAGTCCCTTTCCCTCTGTAAAACTTGATATTTTTCTGCCTGGCCAGTGTGGCTCACCTAGTTGAGCATCATCCCATAGCATTAGGAGGTTGCTAGTTCAATTCTGGCCATGACACTTGCCTGATTTGTGGACTTGATCCTCAATACAGGGCATGCAGGAGGCATCCAATCAATGTTGCTCTCTCATTGATGTTTCTACCTCTCTCCCTCTCCCCTTCTCTCGCTAAAATTAAGAAAAAAAATGTATTAAAATAAATAAAATAAAACTTGTTTTCTTCTTCAGTTAAATCAAGTTGGTATTTAAGCTCATCTTCACTTGATGATTTTATGAACACGCATCTCAGAGTTAGACCAAACATTAATATTATTTGTAAATAACATTATCACCATCTGGCTGTTCCTGATGTCTAGGAGTTGTTGACCTGCTGAGCCAAGGCTGGTCTCTGGTTTGTAGAGATTGGCAATGTTTGTTGGCAGTTCTA